ATATGTGTGTGTATATAGGTCCTATAGGGTCACTATAGTGTCGATAGAGAGCCCTGGTGGCACACCAGTTAAGTGCTCAGCTGCTAACTGAAAGGTCGGTGGTTTGAACCACCAGTTGCTCCATGGGAGAAAGATGTGGCAGTTTGCTTCCGTAAGGATTTACAGCCTTGGAAACAGTTCTACTCTGTCCTATAGGGTTGCTATGAGTTGGAATCAACTTAATGGCAGTGGGTTTGGCTTTTGGTTTTATATGTGTGGATATGTGATGTTTGTGTGTATATGTATGTATGTGTGGTGTATGTGTATGTGTGTGGTGTATATGTCATGTGTATATGTATATGTAGTGTGTGTATGCGTGTTGTGTGTATGTGTAGTGTGTGTACGTGTATACGTACCTGCATAAACATCCCTCTTTCCCTTTCAAAGCTGTCTGACGCCCCACACGTGTGGCACAATAAAAAAGAAGTCACCACAAGTTTTATATGAATTACAGAAACATAAGGTCTCCTTGCTGGAAAGCACCCTAAAGACTACCCACCCCAACCCTCTCGCTAAGGCAGCCTCTACTTGAACACCTCTGGTGACAGAGAGCTCATTACTTTCCTGAATAAGACATCAGCATTCAATCATTTATTCGATAAACACTTACCAAGCACCCTCCTGGGCCAGGCCTGTGCCAGGCACACAAACACAAAGTTGAACAAGACATGATCTGCAGACACTGTTAGAAAGCACTTCCTGTGACGGGCCAAGATCTGTCATACTCTCACCTGTTGCACCTCCTGGTAGTCCTTGGGGCACCAGAGTAAGCCAACTCTGCCACATGAGAGGCATTCAGAGACAGCTGGGTGCCCTTCCTCCCCCACCCCCACACACACACCTGGCAGAAACACACTCCTCCTGCCTAGGAGCTGGCAGGGAGTGGGGCGGTGAGGACACTCAGCTCCAGGCCAAGCCTAAGGGCCCAGAGGCCAGGAAGCAGCTTTGTCATTCCCAAAATGGCTGTTCCTCCTTTCCTGCTGAACCAGGCCCTTATGACATGTCACGTCTGGTCACGTGGGCTGTTACCACAGCATCTCCCAGCACCTATATGGTGCCCCGGCCAGCTCTATGGCCCTTGGCTGCCCTCATGGGAGCACATCCCTCCCTGCCATCCACTGCGCTCCCTCCCACTCACCGTCCCCCACTCCCAAGTCTTCCTCAGCTCCTGGGACCGGGACACCCAGAGCCTTCCAGTTATAATGTCTGATTTGTACACTAAACTCAACTTAAGAACCCTTGGGGCCCTCCCTGCTCTTCTGGAGAACAATGTGCATTTTCCCAGGAGCTTTTGGAAGCCCGCTGCCCTGGAAAGTCTGCCCAGCAGAACTTCCAGGCAGGGAGGGACACCAGAGCAAACCTTTCACCAAAGGCTCTCAAATGTGTACAATGAGCCTATGTGTGGCCCCACTTCATTCAAAAACTACCATGTGCCAGGCCCTGGGGATAAATGGGTAGATGTGTAGCCCCGCTTCATTCAAAAACTACTGTGTGCCAGGCCCTGGGGATAAACAGGTAGATAAAATATAGTCCCTGACTCCAGGGCTGACTATGCAATGGCATGGATGGACCCAGGCAGTTCAACAGAGTGTTATCATACACTATGTTTGGTGTGATGAGATGTCCTGGATATTCTGGGATCCCAGACAAGACACCTAATCCAGACTGGGTGTGGGACAGTGGAACAGCAGGGGCAGGGAAGGCTTCTGCATCATTCAGAGGGAGAGGGGAACATTTAAGGATGGGGAGGATTATTTGACCCCCCCCTACACACACACACTACCCACCCACCCACATCACACACACACACACACACACACAATCACACACACACACTACCCACCCACACACATCACACACACACACACACATATACTCAGGTGATTCTGGCAGCCCCTAAGGCACCTCTTCAGATGAGAATTACTTTTCTAAAGGTTCAAGGCAGGAGTCACAAAATTTGAATGTGAATGCCATGAGATGGGGCAGGCATTCTCCACTCCGGAAGGCTCACCTGCTCCTACTGCTTACACTGTCCACTGCATTGGTTCATGTGGAGGTTGGGACCCCTGGCCTAAGGAGGAGAGGGAGTAGTTGGAGAGCTAGCACTGCTCCATGACTGAAATCAGAGGTCCCAGCCTACCCTAAAGGTGAACACAGAAACGACTGCCCAATGCATGCGGCGTGACGGCTGCTCTAAGAGAGGTGTGTGGACCGTGCTGGGCTCACAGAGAACACTCACTCTGCTCTGCCTGCACAGCCAGTGACCAGCTAGGCGGAGCTTTATTCGCACACCTTGCTGCCCACCAGGTGTAGAGACTAACAGCCTCACCTCTGCCTCTCCCTACACTGCCCTCTGCACAACCTGCCCCTCACCTACTGCTGTCCCCCACCCTCCCCTCCACTCCTGAGTGTCGTCTCCCTTTGTCTCCCCACCCTTCGCCTCCATCCCTCCCTTTCCACAGTCATTCCCAGTGGCCTTTCCTCCCTACAGACCCCAGCAGTCAAAATGAAGCACAGTTTTTATCGTCTTTTCAAGTGAGTTTTGTAATCTCTATTCTTAACTCTAAAAGCAGATGAATTGACTGTTTCAAAGGAAGCTCCTTTGTCAATGGCCCTGAATAAAAAAGTTACTCAGCCCTGACTTAAGAAATTTCATAAAATAAAATGATTTCCTAGCATTTTAGCTGTGCTATGCTCAATTTATAAGGAGTCCTGGTGGTGTAGTTGTTAAGCACTGTTAACCAAAAGGTCAGCAGTTCAAACCCACCAGCTGTTCCACATGACAAAGATGTGACAGTCTGCTTCCGTAGAGATTTATAGCTTTGGAAACCCTATGGGGCAGTTTTACTCTGTCCTATAGGGTTGCTATGAGTCGGAATCGACTCAACAGCAATGGGTTTGGTTTAGTTTTTATTTGTGTATCTATTTTGTTCAAACCACTCTCAGGTAACTGTTCTGGATAACAAAGTTTTCCAGATAACAAAGTCTGCCCCCTTTATACCTAATTTAAAAGAATTGGAGGGGGTGAGGAAGTGTGGCGTTTTTTTTTTTAATGATACACGTAATTCCTGCATTCTTAATCAGAGCATGCTGTACATAATTTAAAGTTTTCTTGGTAACTCTGGGTCATGATCGTGGACATCAGTGATATGCCATCCAGTCATGATCTTAGAAGCGTTCTGGCCCTAGACTGCTGTGCTTTGAATTCTTGCATCTGCTTTTCATAATTATTCTGTTTCCTCCCGCATTGTTGGCTGCCAAATAATAATAAGAAGAAGAAAAACAACAACCCTAATGATGTTACAAGCACTGTGCTAAGCATTTTATGTGTATTAACTCATTTAATTCTCATAAGGTAGGTCCTATTAATATCTTCATTTTGTGGACCTTGACCACACCCTGGAGTCCCAGTGCAGACCTGGCCACTAGCCTCTTGATCTTGCCTGGCCTGTAGAGCTAGTGCTTCTCTGAGTAGCCTTGAGTGCTCGCCCCCGGAGCCAGTCCCCAATCCTGGAAGGGGTATGTCTGAGCTCAGCGTAGCTCTTACAGCAGCTGTAATCCTGCACAATGAGCCCAGGAGTTCAGATGCTCATCTTTCTTGCTCACAGCCCAAGTTTTTCTTCTTTTTGTAAAAGGCTGTTTTACTCCCATACTTCTAGCTTGTGCCTTTACATTAGACTTAGAACAGACCTTGTTTAAAAGAAAAAGAATAGCCTTCTCTATTTGCCAGGAATATTCAGGCTTAGAGGGGCCAGGGCAAGGGAAGGCTTTTTCCAAACTGGAAGCCCTGTTTCATGTTAGTTTGGAACACAAACCTACAGATCTGGGTGTCTGCAGGCTTACCCCTGGTTCCAGGCTTGTAGGCTCCTGCTAGGAAGGCCCCATATCACCATTTACATTCCTGAAAGGTAGGGAGGTGCCTGGGATGGAGAGGGAGTTGGGGAGAGGGTGTCTTCCATGAAACTGTTAACATAGTATTTGGATAAGATGCCTCCAGTGAGGGGTAAATGTGAAGGACAAAATCGGGGGTACACAGCCCCAGAGGACTCTGGCATGTATGACCAGGCTGTTCTGTGGCAGAAAAGAAGCCAGTGGACAGAAGGGGAACTTAAGCCCAGCTTCCCTACATTTTATTCAGAAGGTAGTAATCATATCCTGGGGAGCAGCAGCAGGAAACGCACTGTGCCCAGTGCCACTCCAGTGTCTAGACTGAGGATCCAAAGACCCATCCCTAACTGAAGATGGAATAGCCTTGTGGTTAACGCGTGGGCTCTATATTCAAAGGACACGGGTTCCAGTCCCTTCCCTGTCTTTTACTCGCTATGAGTCTTGGTGGAAGTTTAACTTCTCTGAGCCTTAGTTTCCTAATTTGCAAAATCCAGATAATAAGAATATCCACCAGATAAGCTTGATGTGGGCATTACTTGAGAATGAATGTAAACTCCACAGCCCAGCACTTAGCCCACAGTAAGCACCCAGTAGCAGTAGTCCCCAGTCCTCACAACACCCCAGGAAGGTAACTACTGTCATCAACCCACTTTATAGAGAAGGAACAAACTGGGGCACAGAGAGGCTTCCTAATTTGCCCGAGGTCACACAGCGTACAAATGAGTGGCAGAGCATACTGGTCTGAGGAGCTACAGCCACTTGGATGTAGTATCTGTAATGACAGTGGGAGTGGCAGGAGGTCTGTCTTCTGCCAGACGTTCACTGCTTACCAACAGAGGCTAAGTCCTAGGCTCAGTGTCTCCCTGGAGACACAGAGAGGGCTAGACACTGTCCTCAAGGGGCTTACAGTCAGAAGGGCAGATGGAGGCAAACCAAGACCACCACAACCTAGTAAATAGGTAGGAAACTTTTTGTAGAAGAGCTTCTGGAAACCAGGGAGCACCATTTGGACTTACAGTAAGAGAGTTTCCATCTGCAATGGAAACTGACTTCAGAAACTTAATATTCCTGGCAATTAAAAAAAAAAAAATACTAGGACTCCTTTCTCTTCTCATTATAGGAGGCTAAAATGCTCAATTCATAACACACAGAAGATTCTACAGACCTTTCAGTCCGTAAAATTAGCCCTTCTGCTAAGCTGGTGCAGTGTGGATGAGGATCTCCACAGACATGTTCTTCTGTACCCTCTAGGGATGACCACGCCACTGGGGCCGCCCATCCCTCCAGTCTTATGTCATTACACTTTTCCCTTTAGCCACACTGGTCTCCTCAAATATACTTGAGGTTCTTTGCCCTGGCCGACTCCTGTACCTGTAAGACTCTCACCAGCTCTTCACATCTTCAGCTAAAATGTTATCTGCTTGGAGAGATCTTCTCTGACTACCCTTCCTAAAGAAGGATGCTCCCACCCCTCATTTTTCTCTCTCTCTCTCCCCTACTTAATCATCTCCTTCATAGCGTTTGTGCTGGGCCTGTTTGCCCCCACATCTGTTCCTCACCCTTCCCTATGTTTCCTAGGTGCAGGTCAGCTGGCTTCCGACTGACTCTGGCCAATGGGAGATACTGGGAGAAACTGGAAGACACAGGAAAGGTAAAGCTAGGGTATCCTCCACCTCCATCTCTGCCTGAGGAGGCATCTCGCAGTTGCTGTCACTCCTCCATGGCACCAATTCCCAACTGACAGGCCCACCACGGGTCAGCTTCCCCAAGGCGGCCCCACTCTGGGCTCCAGCAACACTACCTCTTTCCATGGTCTCTCCAGCCTAGGGGTGGAGTTGCTTCCTACTGTGTCCAATCTCTGGGTTGCCTCCTTCTCCCCTGTTTGACTTCTCAGCTCTTCGCCAACTGTGTAACCAATTCCCCACGTTAAAATCCTGTTTCCAATACTCCAGTGGTTTCTGTTTTTCAGTTAGATCTTAAAATTTAATTAATTTGTCCAGTTACTTAATTATTGTCTAGATTCACTATAAGCTCAACAGAGCAGGGACTGCATCTGTCTTGTTCATTACTGCACCCCCAGTGCCCAGCACAGCACATGGCAATCAGTAAACTGAGGAAAATACTTGTCCACATGATGAATGAAAAGAAGTAACACTGATATGTCCCAAGAAATCCTCACATTTCCAAAAAGAAAATTGAAATGCGATTTGGAAATGATGATTATTTGTGTACATGATTTGTTATTAAAGAAGCAATTGAGGGAAAGTGGTTTCTGAGCTTTTCAACAGAGGCACAAGAGACCTCCTTCAAGAAATAAGTGGTGAATTAAACGGTCTTGGTTAAGAAATAAACACAAAAACACGGATATGAGGCCCCACTCAGCTCCCTCCACTCCCAGGGACATGCTGGTTCCCATGAGGCACCTCATCTCAGGACATGCACCCCCAGCTGGCCTGGGTTTGTATAATTATGTACCCCCAAAAGCCCAGTCTTGGGGACAAACCTTTTCACGGTCTCAACAGACTTCTGCTCTGCCAGCTCCCTCTGAAGCTCCCTTTCCTTGGCTTCCTTCTGCCCAATGGGGCAGTCCTCGGGGACAGTGAAGAGGGACAGGGCATCTTTGCTGTCCTCTTCTCGAAGCACTTTAGCAAAGACCTTCTCAGCCAGGAGCCGGACCTGCTCGTCCACTTCAGAGATGTTCAGCTTGGGGAACTGGCGTGGCATTTCGGCTAGAAAGAAAGAACAGGCATTAACCTTGATGAATGATGGGATGGCCTCAGTCACCAGTGCGGGGAAGGAGGACGCAGTGAAGGAAAAGTCACCCCCCACCCCCATCCTTGCGGTCAGTTGTCTGGTCAGGAATTCCCCAGACCAAACCCAGCATGACAATTTCAAAATTTCGCTCAATAAGCCATTGGATGTGAAAAGTGCAGGGCCACTGATATGTCATGAGAAAGCAAATGTCCAGAAGTCAAAGGAGGAACTGTCCAGCTAAGTGTGCTTCAATCCCCAGACGCAGGGATTCTGCAGCACGCAGGCAGCCCTGGCCTTCTCGGCTTTGTTTCTGTGACCGAGAAGGGAGATGAGAGAGTTCAGGACCCTCCCTCCTCCAGACTATAAGGAGGCTGAGTTACTGAAGCAACAGTGATCAAGCCCCACTCCCTCACTTCACAGAGGGGAAGACTGAAGCCCAAAGGGGTTAATGATTAGCCTAAGGTCCCACAAGATTTACAGCAGAGGCATGGGGAATCCAATGCTGCATTCTTCATTACAAAAAACAATGCCATTTGCTGGAAAGAAGGAATCTGCACTCACAGTCCCACTCTCCAAACACTTGAACAAGACACAGCAAATAAAATAAAGGGTTTGGAACAAGGGATATTCTTCCCCTTTCACAATTCAGCCGAAAATGCATTTCCCAAAGGAAGCTTTCCTTCACCCACCTCTCTGCATACTGGCTCCTTACTATCAGTAATAGACCCAAATCACTCGATTTCTTTCTTTCTTCCTTTCTTTTTTCTCCCTTCCTTTCTTCATTCTCTTCTTTCTTTTTTTTTTTTTTAACACTTATATAGTATTTATTATATACACTCTGCCAATTGCTTTATTCATATTAACTCAGTTAACCCTATTAATCTCACTTGACAGATAGGAAAATGGAGGCATGATGAGCTAACTTGCCCAGGGTCACACTTTCAATAAGTGGGCAGAGATCTGTGCTGTTCACAGCCCTTCTCTACCCCATCCCCTGTCCACTTCTTCTCTGAGCCTCTGTTCTGCGATTGAACCCAGGCACCTGGTTCCCAAGTCTGCGCTCTTCACCGCTACGCTGTGCTGCTTCTCTTTGTCCATTTGGGTGTCAGGGCAGAGTCTCCCCACTGTCCTCAGCATGGCCCTTGAGGAATGGATGAAAGCTGCATGCTTTCAACAAGCTACCTTCAACAGGAGTGGGTCTGGAAGAGAAGTTTCCTGTCCACCTATTATCATAGCTTCTTTAAGAGAGAAGTGGTTTTTGTCGGCCAGACAGAGGACTAAGGTGAGACAGTATCCGGTTGCTATCTGGCAGAGGAAAGGAAGCCATTACAGGGAGGAGGGACTCACGAGCAATCTTGGGACAGTCATTCTCTGGGCCTCACAATTTTCTCATCTGTGAGATAAAGGTATTGAACTAAGTGGTCTCTAAGGCCCTCTCAGTTCTAACTGCCATAATTTGAGGTACCAGAGAGGTTTCTGGTGCCCGGGGAGGCTGCTGCTCTGGTCTTCTCTGCTGCACAATGTGGGTCTCATTCATGACACAGGAAGGAGGAAACAGGCTAGTAACTATAGACAAAGTTTTTTCTGTGGTCCCTTGACTGTGAAACCAATTTCCTCCTTCTCTCCACGCCTAGGAGGCCCTTCCTGGGCCTCTCTCACCCTGAGGGGGCTGAGTGGAAGGCAGCGGTGAGGGAAGAGGTGCCTCAGTACACAACTGTAAGGGTCTACGGTAGCAGGCACCAAGCCAGCAAAAGCCTGTCCTTGGAAAGAGCAACGAGGAACAGAGACGACCTTGGCGTCTCTGACAGCAGAGAGAAGGGGAGCTGGAAGCCATAGAGCACAGGCTCAGAGAAGAAAGTGACACGGGATAGGAAGGCTGAGAACAGCACAAAGAACTAGAAAGACAGGAGGTGTGGTCAGGCTGGAACAAAGGTGGACACCCGCCCCCAGCTTGAAGTCCACTAATTAAGTGCATCTTTCCAAAACTTACACCACATCTCAGAAGCAGACATTAAACAGGCCCCAAGCAAAGGGCAGCAAATGCTATAAAGATCCACATCGTTTTACCAAGCATCCCAACTTCTAGAAACTTTTTTTAAGAAAAGAATCCAATGGAAGTAAAAAAGCAGAGATATTTACTTGAGCTCTTTATATAAATAGCTTGAAAATGTTCAAAATAGAGCACATTCATTTGAAAAAATGTTAAGCAACCAAAATTATAATTCCAAGGACAGAGCAATTACATAGAAAACATTTTATGAAATAACAGTAAATGAAAAAACAAATACACAAAACGGTATCCATTATTTGATTACAACAAACACAACCAATGCATCAAAAATGCATTTTGACTACATGATAATGCATCCGCTATGGACAAGAGCTGCAAGAGAGACACTCAAAAAAGCTAGATGGTGGGAGTGCCTGTGTGTGAGGGAGTGTCTTATTTTCATCATTAATGCCGTTTTAATATAGTTTTTAATAAATGCAAAGAAGATGAAAAGAAAATGAATAGACTTAAGACTTGATAAAAAGAGGGAAAACTGAAAAACAAATCAAACTGTTCATCACAGCAGTTTTTGTCAATTAGTGCCCTCTCCCATTTACTCTGCACCAGAAAGAGGCCACCCCAAAGGGAATTATACCACTTAGACCCATCTCTGCTTTAGCTCCCATCCTGAATGGGAGCTAACACCACCAATACTTTCCTCCCCACTTCTACTCCACAAACATACCCAGGCCTGACCCAGATGCACCCCACCACATGCCCCTTAGAAATGAGCATTTGAGGGATCCTTTATGTCTAAGGGGGTCCCTGGGTGGTATACATGGTTAACAAGCCTGGCTGCTAGCCAAAAGGTTGGAGGTTCAAATCTACCCAGAGGTACCTCAACAGAAAGCCCTGGTGATCTACTTCCAAAAAATCAGCCATTGAAAACTCTATAGAGCATAGTTCTACTCTGACACACATGGGGTCACCATGAGTCAGAGTTGACTCGACAGCAACTGGTTTGGGTATTTTTTATGTCTGAGGGTTTTTGTGCCAAATCCTGCCATGTTTTTTCATAAAACATTTTTAGCTTGTTCAAGTCAACTAAACATACTTTTCAGAATGTATCTTTCTACAAAACACCAGAACATCTTCCTTTTTCATAGCTTATAGCCTTTCCCAAACAGGGTCCCAAACCAAAAAACCCAAACCCGTTGCTATCGAGTTGATTCTGACTCATAGTGACCCTATAGGACAGAGGACAACCACCCTTTAAGGTTTCCAAAGTTGTAAATCTTTACGGAAGCAGACTGCCACATCTTTCTGCTGTGGAGCAGCTGGTGGGCTGGAACTGCTGACCTTCCAGTAAGCAGCTGAGTGCTTTAACCACTGTACCACCTGGGCTCTCTAGCTGAGTCCCAGGAGAAGTCAATACCTGTTGCCCGGAAAACAGGTCCTGTGATCAATTCACTGGGGAGATGCTGCATTCCACAGCCCCTCACTCCGAGATCCACAAAACACACTAGCTCATTAAAAACTTGAGAATCATAGAGTAGATTCCCCACACTTTTTTCACAGAACCCATATGAATCACCTAATATCAGTGTCTTAAATAATGAGTGGAGAATTCATTCCATACCTTAGTATGGACCAAGTAACCCCACTTGGGGTGCTACACAAAGAAAGTGGGCCTTTCAAGCCCACCGCACATCTGCTATCTTCTGGACATCCTTGGCAACAGCGCCCCCCTGCCCACAGTTCCCATTCTGAACTTGTCTCTTCTCTTACACCCACAGACACCAGCAAGGCCGGCCGTGCTGAGAGAGCCCACTCCACAAACGCCCAAGGGAGCTTCAACTCCAGCCGCCTTTCATGCCTGGCTTTCCACTGTTTGTCAGCTGAAGCCGGCAGGCTTGGGAGGCTTAACTGTGAATTTACCAACATTAGTCAGCTAGTGATACAGCTTATCTCACTGTTACATACAACACCCTCCATTCAGCTTGAAAAACTGTCCCAAAGTTACGTAGCTGTGAAACACAACCAATTTCAATAGACAGTAACTTTTCCTGGCATCACAGCCCTTCCAGAAATGAAGCACAGTGCCACCGAAGTCCCCTCCTTACACAAAGGACACTGTTTCCTGTTCTTTCCAGGCTCCCATAGTCAGAACCCACAACACAGACCTGAGCCTGGTGCTGAAGACTCCATGACTGATAGAGGAGGATCCCACACTGGGGCCCAGGTGCTGCGTGCTGCCCGGCAGGCGGCTGAGCTGAGTCAGTGTGTAAGTACAGCTAGCTGGGTCTTATCTGTGCTGCTGGGGTGGGAGGGCTCTGCTTTGCCTATCTGTGAGCAGCAGTGAGTGACAGCAGGAAACGTCTGGGCTGGAAATCCTTCCGTGAGTATGAAATGCAAGTGGAAAATTTCCAAGAGTCCTAAAGGTCCCCGATAATGCCAGTTATCCAAGGCAAAACAGCTGTTGTATCCTGAATGCAGCGCCCAGCCTGCTCACAGTCCTCACCAAAAAACAAGAACTACTACCCCCGATGAAGTAGTACATTCAGCTGCCCTGACCAACCACAGAAGATAAGCCACAGCTTCCCTCCAAAGCCCGCCTAAGCTCCTCCTGAAAGCTGAGTGGCAACGTGTGATACCATCACCTTGTTGCTTCCATTTGGATCCCTGTTTCAGGCTCGGCCTGGCAATGGGTTCATCTTACCCAGGGAATTTTATGGCACAGCCTGCCTTGCCTCCCCTCAGGAGGACCCCCAAAGCAACCCTCCTGCCAAAGCACCCCAGGACAAGCAGGCAGAGCTCTGAGCCCGGCAGCCAATACAAGTCCCTCTCCTCCCCTTCTAAAAGAGAAAAGGACTAGGGGCTGTTCCCTCCTTCCCCAGGAGAGAATGGAGACTCAGAGAGAGGGACGGCCTCAGTGCAGAGGCATATAGGGGCTGGCCAGGATGGAAAGCTGGTATGCCCTTATTCCACGCCTTCCTTTCTTCACTGAAAGATGCCGCAGAAGACAGGTGACTGAGCGGCCTGACAAACTCTCCAAAGACCCTCACCTGACCCTCCTGAGCCCATCCCCAGCTCCCTTCCTTTCTTACTGTCATTCAGGGCTCCCACATGGGCCTCCAGCGCTGAGAAGCCTCCTGAGCTCTGGCTGGACTCCCACCCTGCCACTAGCAGCTCTGCTCTCCCTGAGGAAGGTGGAGCCTGGCTCAAGTGAGCCACAGAAGCAGCTCTCTAAAACCAGCCAGGATGATTAAAACAGCATCACAGGGCGCAAAGCTCCGTTTTTCATCTGCCCTTTAGGAAAACGACAGTCCTATGGGGGAAGGCTCAGAACAGACACATAGTCTACAAGTAACTTGGACAAATAATGTAGGTCTGGGAAAGAACCGTGAGCCAAATGGCTATTTCTGTGGTCTGTTGAAATCCTGGGGGAAAGAGCCCAGGAAGGGTAGGTCATTTGTTTACCAGGAAGCCAGCTCTAGCCCTGACCTGGGCCTGAGTCACCTCCCCATGTCCAATCGTGAGGTTGTGCCTTCCTGAGCCCACATCATAATTCCAGTGAGCACACAGAGCAGGATTACAGGGCTGACACATGATCCTCAGGCTTCTGCTGGGCTTTAGCTGCCCAGAGATGACAACCCACCTGTCCTCACAGCTGTTTCATAAACAGTGCCATCAGCATGCTACAAGCAACCTAGAGGGAGGGTAATATTTATTCATTAAATAATTAAAACGGGCTTAAAGCATAGAGAAAAAAATTCAAGCCTTCGGTACTGTTCTGCCAGAAGGGAGGAAGGGCAAATGATCCCTTCTGCTGAAGTGTTTTTTGTTTTTTTGGGGGGGAAGGGGGAGGCACTACAGTGGGAGCATCCTAGCCCATGGATCTGAAAACATAGCTGGGCGCAACACATTTAGGGAATTTAATTCTGCACCTTTAACCAGACCCTGGATAGCCTTAGTCTAAACAAGCATTTCCCAAAGGGCACTCTATAGAACATAAAAGGTCAGGAGGCTTGGAAAATACTGCAAACCATAGTCATGTACAATCTGCTTAACTTTGTTTAACCCAACACACTTATTTGGCCCTCCAACACCACCACCATACAAAAAAAAACAATTCTTAATATCCTGTGGCGAGGGCTTTGGCAAACGCCTTCCACTTTGAGCCTTCGTTTTCCAACCTTGAGAAAGCTGCCTTCCCGGAGGCTCATTAAGTTTTATATCTTCCTGGCAAAGGTCCAAGCTATGGGTGTGAGACACACCCCAGCAGGTCCAGACAGAGACAGGCAGCAGCCCCACGAAAATGGCACAGGTTGGAACAATGAGCAAGGGTCTGGCTGAAGCCAAAAGAATGGAACACTCTCCGGAACAGCGGCAGCTTAGGAAGAAACTGTGGCTCTGTCTCAGGAGGTCAAGCTCTGCTCAGGACCTCAGGACCTCAGGACCTCACAGTTCAGGACCTCAACCTTGAGCCTAACATGTCACCGCTCCTCATGACCTAGAAGTCTCCTTGGCCAGAGGAGCACACATCCCAAGCTCAAAGCTTTACTTCCCTTTTGAATGGACATTGAGACAACCTATGACAACCAGGCCCAGGGCCTGCATCTCACAAGCAACCTTGCCCAAGAGACCAGACTACATTCACCTTTATCACTTAAGTGCCTGGTACAAGCCCCAAAAGACAGGGAAGGCTAGAATCAAATTATGTCCCATCAAGAAAGATATCAATGCCCTTTCCAAAAGTATGGCAGGGGCTTGCCTATAGAGGCCCATTTTCCTTCTTGTTTCTAAAGCAGGCATGATTCACAGAGTTGGGCAAAGGAGCTTCATCTGCTAAACATCAGCTCCATGACAGACCTTACCTGTCTCGTTCATTACTGTATCACCATGTCTGGGATATGACAAGTACTCAATAATTACTTGTTGAATAAACAAATGCATAAGATAGATGAATGAGTGAATGAGCCAAGTTGATGAATATACCTATGACAATCTCAAGAGTCAGTATGTGGACTCAAGCCAGGCTACCTGAGTTGGAATCCTGGCTCCAACACTTAGTTGCATAACCTTGAGCAAGTTACTAAACTTCTGTTTCTCAGTATTATTCCCTATAAAATGGGTTGCCATGACAATTAAATTAGTTAGCATTTAAAGTAAAGTGCTTAAAATAGTACCTGGCACATAGTATGTGCTTCATAAGTATTATCTATCAACATCACTGTTGTCATCATCATCATCATCATCATCATATAAGGTACAAGAGAGAGTCCAATGGGGGAATGAGCATAAAGTTTCACGTAGACACTGAATCCGTTTAGTTAACATTGTTTATTAAGCTCCATTGCATGTCAGGTCCCCTCTCAAACTCCTACCTAGGTGCAGGAACAAGAAACCCATTTTTAAATGTAAAGCCTCTTCTGTGAATGCTACTTCTTGGTGACTGTGCATGGTCAGGACTCCAGCCATGAGCCCATCCTCCCATGCCCTCGTCCCTTGTATATCAAAAGCCCATTGTCTCCTGCACTAGATATGTAGCCAGCACCCCAAAGAACTAAGAGATTCGTAAACTTGGTGGAAGAACCAGTAAGGCCAATGAGTAGCTTTGAGGGAGAAAAGGTATCTCCTTGCTTAACCCTAAGGCTATATTTTATCTGCCTAAGGCATTTTTGAGATCTGGGAAATGACTTAGAGGGCTTTTGGAGAGTGATCCAGCAAGAATAAGGACAAGAAAAACAGGCTCACCTCTCAAAGAACTTCTTGGCCTAACTGACAGACACTCATCCCTTATCTAGGATCTGAGTTTGACAGGTGAGAACTGAGCTGGCCACAGGCCAGGGCTGAGATGTCATAGAGTCTCCCAGTGACCCACCCAGCAAGCACCACTATTCTGAGAGAGGGCAACCTGTTCCATCATCTTCAGAGCAAGCCAGGCCTCTCTGAGTTGCAGCCAGAGCTGCAGCCAGGCCAGGCAAATTATCCTAGACCTGCTGTCAACACTCTGAGAGGTGAGAGCTGACCAAGACTCTGTTGGCCTGGCTCAATGGTGTGACTACCACTTAGCATTGATACTTCACCAGCAGGAGAGGAATTTCCCCTGTGAGGGTTCCAGCTACAGTCAGCTTTCCCCTGAAGATGGCCAAATGTTGGTAACCACATTTAGGGGGATAGCCAACAAGGGCTAAGGATCGTGCTAAAATTCCTCTCGGTGCTCCAGCGTTCACCCAGCTCTTTTGCTAATTTTTCAACACCAAGCTTCCAAGCTATATACAAGGACCTACAGTTTGAAAGCCTCTCCTGCTCCAGGCCCTCTCAAAACTCACCCAGCAGAGGCCAACAAAGGAGCTACCAGGAAGTTCAACAGCTGTATACCTCCCTTGTTGGAGGGAATCAAAGAGGTGAGGATGAAGGCCTCAAACGACCCCAGCACCCCATCATCCTGTCCATCCCCTTGCCTCCAGGTAGAAGCCCTCAGTCATCTGCATCAGGCCAGTCGTTAAGCACCAAAAAACTAGTCCAGACGCTTAAGTGACAGGAATTCCTGGGTCCTTTAATTTCTCTAAACTTGGCGGATCCAATCCAGGCCTCCAGGGAACCAGGATGCGGCCGGCTCATCTGAAACCGCTGGAGCTCAGGCCATTGCAGCGGCAGGGGCAATGGCTCGGATGCCGGCGAGAGAAGAGCCCGGGATCGGCGCCGCCGCCTCTGTGAGCTTGGAAGCCCTGAGCCGAGGTTCTGACCCCGACACGCTCAAGACGCCCGCCCTGCGCCGCGGGGCCAGCGGGCCCAAGGTCAGTAGCACAGCATCCCGCGCACTCACCAGGATCAGGAGATAGGGCCATGCCGTGGGCCGGACGGGGAGGACGCAGGGCTGGCACACAGGTGGCGGCGCAGGGCACTGCGTACTGCAAGTGCCGCAGAACCGGTTCCTCGGCACTGAGGCCAGATCTGTGCGGGCCCCGGCCAGGCCACGCCCCTGGCCCGCGCTCGGTGGGAGTCCGCAGCGCACCCTTTGGCAGGGGCGGGAGCCGAGCGCTCTGAGGGCGCGGCGCTGCTGAACCTCAGCACCAGAGCCCGGGGACCGGCCCTGCGGTAGGAAAGAGGGCCGTCTCCTCAGGGAAGAAGCCTGCGAGCCGCGCGCCGCCCCAGCCCGTGCCCTACCTGGGCGCGGAGCGAGAGAGGGGCGCCGGCTGCCCCAGCCGCACAAATCTGCCCTGCCCGCTGCCCGCCAACCAGGCCTGCCCGCCGCTACCTGAAGCGCCCGGGCTGCGCTGCCAACAGGAAACTTGAGAGGGCCAGGGGCTCGGCCGCCGCCCTGTCCCTCGGCCGGAAGCCGCGCGCCCCCCGCCGCCTGGCCTCCGCTGGGCCGCGCCGCAGCCCGGGGTCAGCTGCCAACCACGCTCCCCGGACCTGGTCTCCACTGCCACCGCCGGGCTCTGAAACCGCGCCCCACAGTGTTCGGATTTGCCCTGGCCTCTTCCCTGACCAGTCCTTTCCCAAGGTGAGCTTGGGGCGGGGGGGTATCGGCCCCCAAACAGGTGACTCACTCTCTGTAGTTAAACTTACCATCAAGCACCGGTTTTCTCTCGGACGTCCGTCTGGTCACTTGGATCACCTTCCTGCCCTTCCCAACACACACACTTCCTTTCCTGCACTCTGCTCTCTGGCTTCTATACCGCCCCTCAAAGTCCGGAATGACCTCCTAGTTGCCAAAGTCAGTGGGTGCTTTGTAGCTTCCCTTACTCACCTCTCTCCCGCATTTGAGCCAGCTGACCACGTCTTGCTTCCCGAAATGCTTGAAGTAGACAGTTTACAGAATTGGTTCCAGCCTCTCTCTCTGTCTCTCTCTGAGTTTTCCACATACCTCGGTGCCTGTTATCTTCTTGGCCTGCAGGGCCTTGCCTTTTCAGTGTAATGTTCCCCGGGGTCCCACCACTGCCAGCCCACTCTGGGGATTTCAGACACCTCCATGGTAACAGTCCCCTATTTGATGGTCCTTGAACTTTATCTCCAGCCCAGAATGTCCAGAGTTACAGATGGTGTGCCCATGCTCTCTCCGGCACATCTCCACTAGAGGTTCCTCCGCCATGGGAATGTGTCCAAACCCAAACTTCTAATTTCCTCCGCAGGAACGCCCCCGAACCTGCTCTTAACGCCTGTTTCCAGTCTTAGTGAATGAGCCACCACGCTCTTACGCCCCAGGCCACACTTGGGAGCCATTTTTTGCTCTTTGTCCCTTTCATCTCTCACACGTAGTCACCAAGCTGGTAAAGGAAACTCTACCAGCTGCTTTTACATAGTTGTTTCATTTAAGCACCAAGTTTTGTTCCTTTTACCTTGTAATTCAGTGGTCTCCAAACTTCCTGGATAGCACACCCCAAACAGTAAAAATATTTTGAGTTCATAGCCTGATTTTTACAATTTATTCATTTATAAATGATATATACATTAATATGTATTATGAAGTACACGACATAAAAATGTTAAAGGATGTGCGAAAGACAAAACACGTTTTTTATTTATTTAGTTTGTTTTAATTCACGGTACAACATACCTTTTTGTTTTCACTTGAAAATTGTTAGTAATAACCTGTTTAATAAGAGCAACGTAATTAAAAGTTTGTTTTAATAAGTCTTAGTTTAATATTTTATGGGACTAGAAAGTATGCTTCTAAATTCTGTTCGTTTCAATACTTGGTCGTAATGGCTGTCCTTGCTATAAAGGGAAATTTTATAAAGATAAAGTAATCTTTGCGTTTATTAAATTGTAATTCTCAGTTTTTTAAACTCATTCACCAATTTTGCAAGTGTGAAATTCCACTGGAAAACTGTCCTTTGTCCATGAAGCCAATGTTACCAATGATGTTTTCATTAGTTGTTCATGAAAAATTTTTTAACAAATGTGTTCTTAAAAACCCTTGAAGCTCTTTATTTTGAAGATTGTAAAATGGTTTAAAATGTGTGTTTCTAAGTTTTGAAGACTGTGGCTATGAGAGTCTTTATGAGGGACACTGACACACTTTGTTTTTGGCATTTAAAATCACATGACAATGGAAACAGTTCCAAACATTAATTTGCAAAGTGCTTTCCCCATAACATGATTCTTTTGAAGCACAATTACTTCTCCAATCCATTGCTAAAATATCACTTTTTCCCAAAAGGACACTGTTGATAAATGTTTATCAACTTGGCTAGGCCATGATTCCCAGTATTGTGTGGTTGTCCACCACTCTGTGATGTGATGTGATTATCCTACATGTTGTAAATCCCAGGATCCCTGGTGATGCAGTGGTTAAGAGCTACAGCTGCTAGCCAAAGAGTCAGCAGTTCAAATCCACCAGCTGCTCCTTGGAAACTTTATGGGGCAGTTCTATTCTGTCCTCTAGGCTCACTATGAGTCACACTCATCAGCAACGAGTTTGGTTTTGATTTTTTATGATGTTAATGAGGCAGGATTAGAGGCAGTTCTGTTAATGAGGCAGGACTCAACAGGAGTGGTTGTATCTTGAGTCAATCTCTTTTGAAATATAAAAGAGAATTGAGCAGAGAGGAGAGGGACCTCATATCACCAAGAAAGAAGAGCCAGGAAAAGAGCACGTCCTTTGGACCTGGGGTCCATGCACTGAGAAACTCCTAGACCCAAAGGAAGATTGATGACAAGGACCTTCCCTGAGAGCGACAGAGAGAGAAAGCCTTACCCTGGAGCTGGTGCCCTTAATTTGGACCTCTAGCCTCCTAGATTGTGAGAGAATAAGTTTCTGTTTGTTAAACCATCCACTTGTGGTATTTCTGTTATAACAGCACTAGATAACTAAGACAGACATGTATTTGTGTATGTGTTTTTCTTTTGGGGGGGAAGGGGAGGTGTATGTGTGTGTACACATGTGTTTCTTTCTGCTGTGTCCATATGTGTGACAATCACAAGCCAACACAGTAGAGATCAGCAAATTTGGAACACTTGTCCTTTTTTTGCTTTTAAATTTCACAACTTTTAGGTTCTTTGCTTTGAGATAATCAGTAGACCTTTGTGTAATATAAAATTTTTCATGCTCTCATTCCACATCTCATTACAAAGGATATTAAAGATTCTACTGTATTTTAATGTCTTTTTAAAAATCAAATTAACTGCATTACTGACGTCCTGTAGAATTTTATGCATATCAGACTTCAGCTTCTTTACTGTGGTAGCTCCGAAATGAATGATGCGATCGACGAATTTCACCTGTGGTCCCTCCCCCAACCCCATTCCCAATTTTGTATTCCAGTTAGGGCAACCCATTCTTTCTGTGGTTACTCTTAAACACATAAAAATCATAGCACATTTTACTAAATAAGTCATTCACCATTGCAAACACATCTTTGCTTTAGTAGATCACAAAAAGTAGTTCATTATGAATTTCATCACTGAAAAATAGCAAAGGTGAAACATGTGAGCCATTTTCATCTAACTACATAGAAAACCTCCCACAACACATCATTTGTTCTAAAACCTTTTCTCCAAATCTTCAACAATGACTTCTACGTTTCTTTCAGCAGAATGTATTTTCTCCAGTGATATTGACTGACTTTTTGCCTTTTACTATTAAGTATCAACGGGCCCTGCTGGCGCAGTGGTTAAGCGTTTGGCAAACCAAAAGGTCAGCAGTTAGAATCCACCAGCCCCTTCTTGGAAACCCTATGGGGCAGTTCTACTCTGTCCTTTAGGGTTGCTATGAGTCGGAATCAACTCGACGGCAACAGGTTTTTTTTATTATGAAACCTCGAAAGAGATTTCTAAACATTTTCATTACATTTAGTGAAATTTCACAAAAGTACACAATTAAGTATTGCATGACTTCAAATATCTCTTTAAAAAAATGTAGAGATTTGTCTTCATGCTCTGGGTGCGTGTAATTTACATGTCTTGCTGATCATGATAGCATATTTATGCTATCATTAACTAATACCACAAGGCCCAGTGTACACTTAGGTTGATTATTAACAAACGCGATGTAAATCTATATTTCAAATAGTCTTTTTTATAAATTTGAACATTTTCTTGGTCAACTCCCTTGTCATAGCTGATTATGTCATCATAATGGACCTTGTACTAGTAACAGGAAAATTGTTAGCTCTGCCATTTTTCTGAGTTCGTTTTTGCCCGTGTTATTTGTATTATTTACAATCTATGGGTTTCTTTGCAGGAATATTTTTAAACCACATGTCCATTTTGTGAGAATTGGTTAAAACCAGATAATACAATCTGTAAATCTACTGC